GAAAGAGAGAAGCACAGCTTTCTTACCTTCTAGTTTTCTTCTCAAGTTCTTTAGCTGTGCCCTGCTTATTCTCCTGCTTTGAAAATGGCATGGGAAGGAACTGCTTAACACTGGGCCCAGGCTGTTTTAGAAAAGCTCCAGTTCTTCTAGCCAACATGTCATCTCTTTGTGGGTCTGGAAATTTCACTTTGTCTTCTGTTCTTCCGCTCTGTAGCTGAAGGATTTCTAGCTGTTCTTGGCCCTCTTCTCGTATGACTGTACTGCTCAGAGAGACAAGTGATACTGTTCCATGATAATGCTTACTAGTGCAGCCTAAAGGCTGCTCAGGCAACGTGGAGTACTGTCACTCAAAACACAGTTGCAGAGTGATGGACAACTAGACATCTTTAGCTATAGCACAGGGAGTGAGGAAACTATGTTGAACACCACACTTACGTAGGTGATTTGTTAGAAGTTGGGGGTCACATAAAAAATGTATGTGAGGAATTATTCACCTCAAAGCTGGCATAAAAGTCTGGACAAAGCATCATGGATTGCAAAAGAAATCCTCCCAAAAGATGAAAGACTGTTTTCATGCTGAACAGCAATTAACAACTGAAGTGCTTAAACATTATGAAAGAAAACAGGCTGTTTTATGTTCATAGGATACATTCTTGTAAGTAATTTCATAAAACAGAACACATGCCATGATGAATGATTAAAACACGTCTTTAAAAGCTGTGTGAAGAATGGAACAACACTGCTGACTGATCCAAGCTAACACCACACACAAACCAGGCATGAAGCTCAGAGGGATCAGCTTCTGTTCTCTGACCTTTCTGCTTCCCACTGAGTCTTCGAATCCTTCTCATGAGCTACTGCCTCCCCTTGCTGCTGCTGCAGCAGATGAGTAGCTACTGACAAGGGAGGACAAAGTATGGGAACAGGACTAGTGATACGCCTCTGAAAAGTTCCCATCCTCCTAACCAGCATATCATCTCTCTCAACGTCTGGTAGATGTTCGTCACATTCTTCCTTGGTGCTTTCCTGCTGTTTGTTCAAACCGCATGGGGTTTGCTTCTCAGAGATGGTGTCCGAAGTTGAAACAGGCGATGGCATTCTCCTGGAAGAGTCATATGTACCTGACTTGGCTACCTCACTACTGCTGAGATTGAGAGGAGAGGTGAGATAGACAAAACATTCTCAGATCAAATGAAAGGTAAGAAGAGGAGTCCTCCACCTCAGTTTGCAGATGTTTTATAAATACACAAACTTAACTGAATGAACTGCTTGCTAAAAGCATTCATTAAAAAATCTTGCTACAGCCACAGACTAAGCGATTAAAAGAAAAGCCAAAGAAACGTAAGCTCTGTTAACATGTTAACTTCCCAGAGCTGTAATTCTTCTCCATATAAATGCCAGAAACACAGAGCACTAATACACCCTGGTTTCAGCATTACATCTTCAAAAAGAAAGTAAATCCATTAGGATTTAAGAAGGTATTTTCTGAACATCAGTAAGGCCAGCAAGCCGAACAACAAATTCCTAATGTGCTGGAAGCAGGCAGAGCAAAGCCGCTGGAATTCAAGAAGCAGAAAAAGCTTGAACAACAGCTCAGACTCTGAGACACCAGTGATTTCACCGCCCATCAGAAATTTTGAGGCAAGCTCTCAGAAGACCTTTGCACAGCATTGTTTTGCATAACCCTAAACATGTTAAGGTACTGTGAAGGCGTCAGATGACTTCTGAACAAGGCCGTGCACATAAACAGCTCTTAGGTCTGTGCTGCAGTCCACCCCCATGCAGATCAGCATCTGGCAAGAACAGGTCTCATTTCCAGCTCAGCAGCACTTCATAAGCCACACCAAATACCTGAGCTCATTCTGTGGCTTAGATATTTCATCGCTGTGTTCAACAAACCCGAGACTGCCAACAGTGGTTGAAGGAGAGCTTTCAACACCAGAGTGACTCTCCACACCATCTTTCTTGCTTTCCTCTTCTGTTCTGCCCTTGGATGAAACTCTGCCAATAACGAGCTTGTCCCATTTCTGTTGATCAATCTCAGTCACTGGCCCAAAATGCACAAACTTCTGCTTGAGGCTACCAGCCTTTTTATTTGCTCTGGCTTTGCGGACAGCAAAATCATCCTGGTCTGCTGTTTTCACTGGGACTTCAGCTGATGGCACAGTGTCACTGGGACATTTGACATCTTCTTCACTAGTCAGAATGAGGAATAAAAGAATCCCCCCAACATGAGACCCCGAATAATGCAAATTAAATGCTCCTAAGGTTCTGAAGGGGTTTTATTTTTAAAATTCAAGGACAGATACAAACAGCTGTGGCATACTGAGGCCCAAATGACAGATAAAATCTCATAGAGATACTGCAGACCTGTTGGGAAAACTCTGGAAGCTCTTCCTTAGGGTAAGCAACATAGAACACAGCCCATTCCAGACTCGGTTCTTCATCCTAACAAAGCCACAGTTTCCTTATCTGTTCACACAGACCCAGGCCATGTGGAGCTGCACAACACCAGTACTACCCTTTCATGGTGGAGTTCCAGCAGCATGAGAGCACTAGCAAGGCAATTCACTCATCCTAAACCAAGGGGGCTGAGTCTTGATTTTAATAAAACACCTCAAAAGTAACAGAGAGATTACTAAGATCTTTGAGACAAGAGAATGACTGAGTTTTGATAGTTTGTATTAGAGCTAAAATGACATACAGTAACTGCATTGTTAGAAGAATGCCTAAACAGGTGGCCACCTTTAATTGGAAAATGGCACGTGCCTAAACCGGAAGGCTAGGAGTTGATATTCTTTCCTACAGGAGTCACAAATCACCTGCATATGTTATAGGCCATCTCCACAGGGAAATAGCTAAGTATAAGGGCTTT